GCATCTTTTGGTCTTATTAGTCATTTGTATAGATTCTTTGATGAAATGTATTCAAGTTCTTTGTCTATGATTTAATTGGGTTCTTCTTGCTATTAAGTTGTAGGAACTGTCTTCTGATTATCAGACCTTTATGACATACATGATTTAGAAATATTTTCTCAAAAAATGTTCTCCCATTTTGTAAGTTGTACTTTCACTTTCTTGACAATGTTCTCTGATGCAGAAATTTTTAATTTTGATGATTTCAACATTTATTTTCACTGTTGTATGTGATTTTGTTGAATATCTAAGAACTCACTGACAAATTCAGGGGATCAAGATTTGACCTCATGTTTTAAGAATTCTATTTTTTAGCTCTTAGGCTATGAACATATTTTGGGTTAGTTTTTGTACATGGAATGAGACAGGAGTCTATTTCATCCTTTTGCTTGTGTATATGCAATTGTCTTAGTATCATTTGTTGTAGAAATTATCCTTATTCCCACCTGCTACTTTGTGGAAATAAATGTACATAGTTCAATGTGCTTATTTCTAGACCCTACATTCTAATCCACTGATCTATAGGTAGCTTTATACCAGCACCATGTTCCTTTGATTGCTCTAGTTTTGTTGTAAATTTTAAGATCATGAGGTGTAATTTTTTTTCTTCTTTATCAATATTCTTTTAGGTATTGGGCCTCATAACAATTCTATGCGAATTTTGAGGATCAAGTTTTCTCATTTCATTAAAGAGTTTCAAGATTTTGATATTTTATTGATTCTATAAACAAAATTCACTGTTCCAGCTTTGATACTCCCAGCTCTGGCTGTTTCTATCTATATCTGTATCTGTATCGCTATCTCTATCTCTCTCACTCTCTTCCCCTATGTTTGCCTTTCAAATAAATGAAGTAAATATTAAAAATAAGCTGGACTCCCAAGTTAGGCTTCAATATGTTTACATCCTAAGGTTGCAGTTTAGTGCATGGGAACCCAAAATATGAAGACAGCCTCAGATCAGTGAGTTCCTGCTTATTTAATTTAATAATGGCTTCAGCTATTTTTCTATCATAATTATAAGACTCCAAATCCAAAAACATGGGATGTCATTCCTTTTATTTAGGTCTTCTTAAGTTACATCAGCAATGTTTTTTTTTTTTTTTTGTTTTTTTTGGGGGGGTATGTAAGTATTTTACTTCCTAAGTATTTTATTACAATTTTTGCAATTGTAAAATACCATTTGTTTTGTAATTTTCTTTTTAGATTGTTCAATGTGTCTCAGATTGTGCAAAGAAATATAACTGAGTTTTGTGTGTTGATCTCCAGTAGCAACTTTGCTAAAAATTCATTAATAGCTCTAGTCTTCTTTTTTTTTTTTTTAAGACATATTTGGGAGTTTATATATATAGCATCATGGCATCCTTGAATATAGTCTTAATTCTTTCTTTCCCATTTCTATGTATTTTGTTGTTTGTTTTTCTGCCTAATTGTTCTGAGTAGAAATACCAGCCCATGTTGAAGAGCAGTGGTGAAAGGGAGCATCCTTGTTTGTTCCTGATCTTAGAAGAAAAGCTTTTTATTTAACTGTGTTTTTTTGTGTGTGTGTGTGTGTCTTTTATTTTTTGATTCACTGAAAAGCAGAGTGACAGAAAGAGATCACCCAATCTGCTGGCTCACTCTCCAAACCTGCAACAGTAAGGGCTGGGACAAGTTGAAGCTAGGAGCTGAGCTTTCAACCCAGGTCTCCCACAAAGATGGCTGCTGCCTCCTAGCATGTGCATTAGTAGGGAGCTGGAACTGTAAGTGGAGCCAGGACTCAAATACAGGTGCTCTGCTACAGAATGCAGGAGTCCTTAGCAGAGGCTTAACCCTGAAGTCCAATGTTTATCCTCATATTTCACTGCTGATTATGCTGTTGTGGGTCTATGAAATTTCCTTTTATTCCTAAAAGAATGTTGTCTTTTTAAAATTATTCATTTATTTAAGAGGAAGAGAAACAGCACCCATGCACATGTGTCTTCCTACTGGTTCACTCTTCAAATGGCTGCAACAGCTCTGAGGATGAAGCTGGGAGTCAGGAACTCAATCCAGGGTGGCAGGAGTCCAGTTACTGGAGCCACTGCCACTGCTTTCCAGGGTCCACATGGGCAGAAAGCTGGAAGCAGGAGCCAGAGCTGAGAATACAGTCCAGGTATTTAAATGTGGGATGTGGTCATCCCAAGTAGCATCTTAACTATTAGGCTAAACACCTGCCCCAAGTATTCTATTTGTTTAAATATGTTTCCTTTTATTTTAAACTGAAACAGCGGAATGCAGTGGTTTGTCACGGGGAAGAGAAGTGGAGGGTGTGCCCTGCGAAGGTCAGAGCCAGCTGCCTCACCCCCCAGACAAGCACAGAACAGACTCAAGGCTGGGAAGAGAGGTACAATCAGAATTGGGGTGGCCATGGCTGGCAGATTTCCAGTCATGTACAGTTTCAAAGTTATCGCGATTACAGAGTAAGGTAGCACTCGTTCTGAAAATCACAAGTCACAAGAGGAAGTGCTCAGCCCCCAACCCCACATTCATAAAAATACACCCGCCGCTCTCCTGCGTCGGGAGGAGATGCACACCAGCCCACCCGACATCAGGAGAGGGGCTCTTGTGACACATTCTGGCTTCAGATTCTGGAAAAAGAGCAAGAACTCACACAGAAACAGAGGTGGTTCATTCATTATGCCAACTCACGAGCTCCTGAAATTCATTCCGAACACCCTCCCGCAGCAGTGGCTTCCAGGAAATCCACACAGAAATGTTACAAGGGGTCCCCCAGCCCCTCCAGAGGCAGTGCAGAGTCCAGACGTCAGTGCCCATGACACACACATACACACATGCCTTCCTCCCTGGTGAAGCCCCCGGAAGTCACCAGGTATTCTATTTTGAATTTTTTTTAACCTGTGTCATTTGAGATAATCATGCGTGTGTGTGTTTTCTCTTTCGCTCCATTTTTTATGGTGAACTATATGGATAGATTTTCTTAAAGCATGCTCTCAATGCTGGAATAGTTCCTGCTTGGTCATAGTGTATAATCCTTTAATAAGTCACTGGAGGCAAATTGCTGATATTTTACTGATGGTTTTGAATTTATATTCATTAAGGATATTGGTCCGTAGATCTTACAATTTGAAGTTTTTGGCTTTGGTATTAGGATGACACCAATCTCAGAACTAATTATAAAATGTTCCCTCCTCTTGATTTATTTGGAAGAGCTTGAAAAGAATTAGTATTGATTCTTTAAATGCCTGATAGAATTCACCAATCAAGATATCTAGTCCTAGACTTTTTCTTCTTCAGATTTTTAAAAGTAGATTGTTTTTTTCCATAGATTTGTGAAGACTTGCTTTGTGTGGTCTCTGAATTCTCTGTTTCCACTTCTTTTCATTGTCCCTGAAGTGACACACCCCTAATAAGTAAATAATTCTATACTACTCTCCCATGCTTGCATTTCCATTCTGATGTGGAGTGCTTCTTCAGTACTAAGTTATGATGTCTCTGTTCTAATAGCTTCCATTCTGCAGGTGTTTGAGAGAGATCTCTTTGAACACTTAGAAACAAAAGTAAACTAAATAAATCAAAGAAAAAACAAACTATATATTATATAACACACACACACACATTCTGTGGACTACCACACTGTATTCTAAAAGAGGTTGATTTAGAGTTCTTGAAATATTTCAATGCTGAGTGTAAGATAACAAATAGAATCTACACATGCAAATGCACAGGAAACTAGGAACCATCATCTAAAGATTGGGTTTTGCAATTAGTGCCTTAAAAGGATATTAGCCTAACTTGTAATGTTTGTGGTTTTTTTTTTTTCATTATTTTACTTGCGTGATTTAAAATTAATAGTAAAGGCGCCAGCACAGTGCCGCAGCTGGTTAAAGCCTCAGCCTGCAGTGCCGGCATCCTATATGGGCGCCGGTTTGAGTCCTGGCTGTTCCACTTCCAATCCAGCTCTCTGCTATGGCCTGGGAAAGCAGTAGAAGATGGCCCAAGTGCTTGGGCCCCTGCATCCACGTGGGAGACCTGGAAGAAGCTCCTGGCTTCTGGCTTTGGATCGCCACAGCTCCAGCCGTTGTAGTCCTTTGGGTACTGAACCAGCGGAATGGAAGACTTCTCTCTCTCTCTCTGGCTCTAACCCTCTATAACTCAGTATTTCAAATAAATAAAATAATTATTTTAAAAAATAAATTTATAAAAAATTAAATTAAATTAATAGTAACAATGATTTTGGAAGAACTTCGCCCCCCAAAAAACATCGTGTTTGCATAGATAACTGGAACAGAAACAATTTTCATCGTTTGTCCCTCTCTGTACCTTTAAAAATTTGAATGATGTAACTGTGGCATCTATTGAAAATAAGCTTACGTAGATGTTAACTGAAACAGCAATTAAAAGAAGCCCGACGTCCTGACAGAACAAAGGTAACTGGGGGCTACTACGGCCGACCCCATGCTTGGTGGGCCAGGACGGGGCAAGGCGAATGGGGCACGGCGAGCTCTGAGCAGGCGACGCCCGAGCCGAGCCCCGGCGAGGAAACAGAACGGCTTACGTCACCCCCGGGAGCTCAGAGGTGCCCCGAGGCCCCGAGATGCACTCCCGCGATTATCTTCCGGGAGCCGGAGCCGGCATCTCCCCCAAGCCGGCCTGAGGAAACCGGAAGACTCGTCTACGTCAGGCAGCCGACGCTTAGCAAAACGACGCGGTGCAGACTGCGGGAAAGAGCCCCCAGCCGCGGTCTCAAAGCCACAGACTCCCAGCCTCCCAGCCATGGCTGTCCCCGTTCAGCCCTCCCTCTCCCTCCTTCCCGCGTCGCTTACTGGTCACGAGATGACTGACAGAGGAGCTGACGAATATGCTGAGTTCTCTAGGGCGCACGCCCGCCTAAGCCAGGTCTTCGGTCCCTCGAGCGAGATGCGGACTCTGTGCGCCGACGTCAGCGTGCTGACGTCAGCGGCAGGTACTCGGGGAGGCCCCGGGGCGGCTGGCGGCGGCGGCGGCGTGCGCGTCGCTCGCTGGGCTCGGTCCCGGGTCCCGCCCCGCCGAGCCCCGCCCCTCCGCCCGCGAGGGCCCCGGCGGCGCGACCGCGGAACCTCAGTCCCCGGGCCAGGCTGGGGCGGCCGGCCCGGACCCGCCAGATGAGGTAGGCCTATTTGACAGGTTGGCGGACTGAGTCTCCGAGATCCGGTGACGTGGCCGGGGCTCCCCAGAGCCCGGCGGGCCGAGGTCGCTGTCCGGGTGCGCGGTCTTTGCTGAGCCCGGCGCGGAGGCTCCGCGGGAGGAGGAGGGGCAGGGCAGGCACAGCTTACCATGGATGCGAACGTGAAGTTGCAGAACGCCCAGCCCCCGGCTCCCAGGCCCGGGCAGGCATTCGGGGTACCTGCAGGACCCCGAGGAGTACCCCCCGTGGGCCCTCCGGAGACCCAGAACGGTGACCGGGGAGGGGGCAGGTGCTTAGGTTCTGCGGACACAGCCGGTCGTGGGCTTCTCCTGTTCTTCAAAAAACAAAACCAAATAAAAATTAGTGAGTCAGGAACGTTCTGGCCCGGTTTCAGTTCACTGCTTTGCCCACGCATGTGAAATCTCAGAAGAGTGGTTACTTTTGGTTGAGGATTAGGAAGGGATTTTTTTCGTTCTGTTTTAGATAAACGAGTTCACATGGTGGAACTTCTCTTAGCCTCCTCTAATATGGCAGTTGTTCGCGTCATTGTCTTGTTTCGCGGATGGAGTCACTGAATCCATCAGTTGGCTCAGTGATGGTGTGCCTCAGTGTAGCAGGGTAACGGAGTAGCAGGGCTCGCCTCTGAAAAGCTGGAATTAGCCCAGTGTTATATCAGTTTTCCTCGTAGTATTATCCTCTGTATGCCATCTACCCTTACACCTCTTTCTGGAAGCAGGATCAGGCAAAACAAAAGGATTTATGATGTCTCGCGGTACGTGTGGATTCCAGTAGTAAGACAGTGGATATTAATGCTTACAAAGTAAAAATGGGTACGGTACAAGGTGCAGGTAAATATGCATGGGTGTATAATAACTTGTATTGTTATGAAGAATCCCTTTTCTTTAAAACCTTGCTATCTCAAACTCCTTATTACGACCTAATTGCACTGCATAAAGCTGCATTAAAGAAATGAAATTAAAACCACCTTTGTGGAGCGTTCCCTCTTTTCTGGGAGGGATGGCGATTATTATCATTTGGATTTATTCAGTGGCTGTGTTATCTAATGAGTGCCATGTGTCGTTTTAGATGTTGAATGCTGAGTATTAAATTTAGAGACAGTCCCTGCCCTCTAAGAACTGACATTTTGGAGGAAATACAATGAAGATGTAAACCCAAAAATGGCTGTAGATAGTAATAAATGCTGGAGAAGATATTACGGGATGAGTAGCCTGAGTGTGACTGGGGTGTGGGGGAAGTTTAGATACCGCAGTCATGAAGGCTTTCCAGAGCGGGTGATGCTTTGGGTAGATGGGCAAGATCTACTGGGAGTTTCTAAGCAGATGGAACAGTCAGGGGAACTAAAGGTATTGTGAGCTTGGCGTGTGGCAAGGTGAAGGAAGCCAGTGTGGTGGCAGCAGAGTGGACGGAGGGGACAGTGGTATGGGGGATGGTGGCAGCAGGCGACAGTGAGGAGTTGGCAGGAACACGCGGTCTGTATCTCAGCTGGGCACTCTAGACAGGCTGAGGATGATTTGCACCCACACTCTCTGACAGCTTCTGCTTGATTTTATTTTGGTTATAAAATCATTGCAGTAACTCCAGGGGTCCTCACACTGAAAAAAAAAGTCTACCCTCCTTCAGCACTGTGCCCCATGCTGGTTTTTCCTTTCGTTGTTGTTATGTGCAACTCAAAACCTCTGCGTATCTCCAACTGCCTGCTCTTCTCCTCCCTGCTGCAAACCATGAACCCTCTCCAATATTATCTTTGCCCGCTTTCCAATTGGAAAGCACTGACAGTTCCTGCTCTTCTCAGTCGAGTTTTATAGAACCACATTCAGCGGATTATGATTTTCTATTAGGACTCGTGTTACCAATCAGAAACATCAAGTCTACATTTATCGAGTGTGTACAGTGTGCCCGGTACTTTACATACATCCCAATCCTTCTGATATCTTGCAAAGGCAATTATTAAGGCTTTTCAATAATAAAGAAATTTGCACTTAAGGCTACTCAACTAGTATCAGTGGAGCATGGCCTTGAACTCTCTTTAGCTTTAGTCCAAAGCCTTATTCATCGTCTCCCACCTCCCTGTTTTCATGACTGTGTAACAGCAGCCACAGACTTCTATTATCTGAGATGACATTTCATGGTGAGGCGTTTTAGAGATCATGTGATTCAGCCCTCTCAGTTTAGAGTGGGGCTCTGAAGGCACAGAGATGCTCAGTGATTTTGAAAACAGTATAGCCAGTGGCCAAACTGGCGCCAGGTTCTCACCCTGCTGATTTTCAGCCTAGTGTCTTTTCTGCAATATTTCCTTCATGAAAGACCATAACAAGGGGTTTCTGTATATTTGTAAAAATATCGTATTTCAGCATCTTGAACTTATCATCCATAAAGTCATAAAAATAGTTTTTAAAAGTTGTGACAGTACTTCTCTGAGGCTAAAATAATCCTTTGCTTATTTCCCTTCCCCTTTCTGAATGAGTAATATTGAACTCTCCATTTGAACCATTGATTTCTGTTAGGAAGAAGGCTATGGCTTCAAAATAACTTTAAAAAAATATTTTAATTTCAGAAATAACTGGACAGGGAATTTAAAGTTGTTACTATTTTCCTAGCTTTAGCCCTATGCATTGTGAGAGAATATAGTGTAGAGCTTGCTGGCTCAGAGTTTCTGTTCGCACATAAACTTTTTCCTATAATTGAGGAAGTTATTGGGTCAGCTCAGTGATTTAACTTCTCTTTCTTAGCAATATGTTATATTAAAAAATATGTAGAAATCTGTTTATAGGCATATGGTTGATAAATGGTTTATTATGTCCTAAGTTTTTTTAAACACTCCTAATCTGTTTCTGAGGTTTGCTTATTTCAGTAATTAGGATTGGAATATTGTAGACTAATAGTAGCTAACTAATTTGCATAAATTTAGTTTGGTTTGATTTAGTTTCTGGATGACCTTTTGACTCTCTAGAAAATTAATGGAGACTTTTTTTATTAGTCAAGTTAGAATGATATTGATAAAATTAATATCCTCCTTTTTAAAAAAATGTTAGAAGATATTCAAATTCAGGCGACAGGGAGCTTTTGCTCTTAGAGAAATGGAATGTCTTGACTGAGGATCTCTGGTCTTGATCTTTGTTCCTGCAGTAGATGTCCATGGTCTGAAGTTCCAGCCCAACAGAATTTGGCCCTGAATTACAGTGTTATCCTTCTGTTGTGAAATCCTTCCTGCCCCAACCTGGGCTTCCCACTCCCGCCTTGAGCTTTCCAGCTTCAGAGCCGTGACTTGTGTTCTGCCTGGAATGCCCTCTGGGTGCACAGCTCCGGCCAAAGGTCTGCCTGTCCCTGTCCACTCACATGCCTACCCCATGCTGCTTTCTCAATGAAACCTTTCCTCTGCCTCTTTAATGGAGGCCTTCTTTTTTTATGACACTTCGGTATCTTTCTCTGAGAAATGGCTTACCAATCTTGCTATCTTTGGTAATATACTATTATTTGGTGCAAAAAAAGATTTTTTTAAAAATCCATGCATAGTTTTTAAATTAAAAAAAATTATTTGAGGGACAATAGATAGAAAGAGTTCCCACCTACTAGTTTACTCCATAAATGCCCCCACAACAACTGGGACTGGACTGAGCTGGGCCAAAAGTGGGAGCCAGGAATTCAACCCAGGTCTCCATGTGTAGAATCCAATACCTTGAACCATCACCTCTACTGCCCAGGTCTGCATTAGCAGGAAGCTGGAGTCAGGAACAGGCTGGGTTTCAACCCAGGCACACTGATGTCGGACATGGCATTTTTAAAAAAAATATCTATTTATGTATTTGAAAGGCAGAGTTCTAGATAGACACATACGCAGAGAAATCTTCCATCCCTTGTTCACTCCCCAAATGGCTACTGTAGCCAGGACTGAGCCAGGCTGAAGCCAGAAACCAGGAACTTCATCTGGGTCTTCTATGTGGGTGGCAGGGGCCCAAACACTTGGGCCATCTTCCTTTGCTTTCCCAGGTGCATTAGCAGAGTGCTGGATTGGAAGTGAAATAGCTGGGACAGGAACTGGCACCCATACAGCATCACAGGCAGCAGCTTAACCTACTATGCCACAGTCCCTGGGACAGGACATCTTAACCAGTGTCTTAACCACTGGGCTAAACAGCCACCACCATGCATAATTTTTCATAGCTCACGTTCTCCATAAACTTTTTGAAGACCCCTTCTGTATGCAGGTGTTCAAATAAATGTTAGCTTGAGCTTAAAAGACTTAACAATTTGTATCGTACAGGCAGAGTTTGCTGTGGATTGTAGAGCCCTCTAGTTTTATTTACATTTTTACTACCTCACTTTGAGAGAAGCACTGTTAGGATTTTCTTGGCTTTGATTCAACAGAAGCTCTTTCCTGTTTCAGTTAAGGGTCTGACTTCCACAATTATCAAAGCGTCCCTACAGACACACTCAAACCTTTGGGCAGTAATTGTTGAAGACACACTGTCACAAACAAAATAAATGTTCTCTGTGTTTATGGTACCAGAAAATAGTAACAGCATTGTCTACTTTGGAATATTTTAAGAGGGATTTTCAAAATGTTCACAGAAGATTAACATCATGAAAAAAGTATGCGTGGATTTCAAGGTATCTCTTAATTCTGTTTTACCATGACTTTCGGGTATCCTTGTAGATGAGAACAGTGAGGCCCCGAGAGATGAACTTGAGGACCTGTTGTTACTTGCAGTACTGGTCATAGATGACTGACCAGTGCCGGCTGCTGGCAGCAGGGCATCCGCGTAGGCCATCAGTGGTTCTGAGGCCCCGTGTCAGAATTCCTGGCAGCCCCTTAAGCAATGTATCAGCACAGGTTGGGCTTTTCTAACTGTTTTCCCTGCTTTGCTCTTGAGTTGGCCTCAATTTGGAAGATACCTCTTGCTGTGAGTCAAGATCAAAGCCTGAACTCCCAGCAAGGATCCTTGGCTCTGAGCTATTTAAAC